GCATATGCTGTTGTAATTTTAAAGTATAAATTTAATTTTGCTAGTTGTTTATGTCACAACTATTGTCATTACATTCAGTGATATACGGGAATTATAATTTATGTGTAACATTAGTACAAAAGACCTTACTAAGGATTCTGTATAGTCTGGCATGGGAGGTCAATGAGGGGGGTGACACCACAAGTTGCCACACTGGGTGATGCCAACTCTAGTGATGCCACTACCTTTGGCAAACCTACCACTGGGGTTTCTGGGCAGAATCTGTGCAGAGGGGGGTTGCCTTTGCTTTCCTCCAAGAGTGTGACTTGCCCAATGTCACCCAGTCAGTTTCCATGGCCAAGTGGGGATTCAGAACCTGGTCTCCCAGTGTCCTTGTCCAACACCCAAACTACTATACATTGCTGGCTCTCTGCCACCTGTTTTACCATTCCTAGGAAAGCTTGGTCACAGGTTGAACAAAGGACGTTATCACACGCACAGCAAGAAAGCGGCAGCAGCATCATTCCGGCATGGTTCCAGTCGCGGCAGCTGTAATTCCTTTTTGAAAGAGGAATTACAAAGAACTGGGATGATGCAGCGATGGTGGAGGGATGATGCAGGGATGGGCGGGGTTTGCTGCGACGTCGTCTGATCACAGGGCAAAGGATCCGGAATGATGCAGCGATGATGCAGCGATGATGCAGGGATGGGCGTGGTTTTCTGCGACGTCATCTGATATCTTTGGCAAAGGATCCGGAATGATGCAGCGAAGATGCAGGGATGATGCAGGGATGGGCGGGGTTTGCTGCGACATCGTCTGATAACTTTGGCAAAGGATCCGGAATGATGCAGCGATGGTGCAGGGATGGGGCTGCTTTAGACCCCGTGTGATAACGTCCAAAGGGATCCAGACTCCCAGTTTCTCATGACTACCCAAAGACCTAGAACACCATCTGTATCATGAGCAGAACAGGAATGTTCAGCTATTCATATTAGAAATTATGTGTCTCCTAACCTCAGTTAGGAGGTCAGCTGATGTTGTAATTTTATAACTACTCCTAAGTAACACCTACAAGATACACTTCTGTTAATATAAGACTGCTTTTACTTAGAATAAAAGCTTTCCTTAAAAGTGCTCCTCTTTTCCACAGTCTCTTCCTGTGCCTTTGCTCAGTGTTTTCATGCCTATACGATTCTCATCTCCCTTGGGATGGGGAGGGAAGTCTCTGCAGAGTCAGAGGGTGAAAAAGTGCAAATTAAACCCCTCAGTAATTCCAACTAGGGGCTCATCTACACCTGCCAGAATACTCCAAGCTACTCCTAGAATATTCTGGTCCCAGAACTGCCCCGGATTCCGCCCATTACCACCACACTGTGGAGCAATGCCAGGTGATTGTCTCCACATGTGTCTGTGGTGCCATCTGCTTCTGCATGTCATTCCCTCTGAAGTCACAATGAGGTGCCCAGCATTGACCACATGGCTGGGCACCTCACTGAGACCTCAGAGGGAGTAACTCATGCCAGCAGCAGCGACACCAGGTGATATAACTGAGACAAGTTTGTAGTCAGCCACCTGGCATCATTGTGGAGCGCTCTGGGTTTTCGTACAAAATCCAGAGCAAAAGGAAAGTTACTTTAAAGTGGTTTAAGGAAGGGATGGGCCAGATTTATTGTGGAACTGGCCTCACATTGTGAAGACAGTCCGCATTTTAATAGGGGATTTGACTTTGCACTGTATAGATAGGTCACTGTGAGGGTGTGGGGAAACCACTTCATTTGGTCTATGTAGACATGTCCTAGGTTACTGGGTCATGTGGGGTGAATTCATGGTAGTGGCAGCAGGTAGAATCTGGCAGTTCCCAAAGGACAGGAGATGGACCTGAGCCTGATACATGGCAAGTAGGCTAGATTAAATGTTCCTGTCTCTCTTAGTAGGTGAGAGAGAAGAATAATCCCCCCATTTCACCCTCAACTAGGAACAGGCCCTTTACTTTAGGCCCTATTCAGATGGTGAAAATAATCCAGGATGAATCTTTGTGGTTCACATGCATCCCAAATGCTCCTGAGTAAGTTTGGGAGGGCTGCCAAAAAAAAAAAAAAACTGGAATAATCAATACTGTCTCTTCCCCCCCCCCCCCCCCCCAGTTTTTAAAAAAGATTTGCAATGTCAGAAGTGTGAATAACTGATGCAAAAGAACCCAGGATAATTCAAGATTAAACTCTATATGCCTTGAATATGTTTTGAATACATTTGCATTGTCAACTCCATGTTTATTCAAGTGCTGGCATGTGTGAGCAACCAAACTTTCATAGATGTGAATAGATACGGATCCATAGTGTGAATACTGAAATGAGTGAATGAGGTCATTTGCATCGTTCTGCTAAAAAAAAAGTCATCTGAATGACCCCTAAGATTTCTGTCTTAATTTTTAAACAGGAACATCTGTATGTGTGTGTTTGAATGACAGGCTGTGAGTGACTGTGGTTTGGTACTTAATGCCTAATGCCATCACCAGGATCTGTCCCTAGGTCTCCGGTTTTGGCTCAGAAATCTCAGAGATGGGGACGTTCCTGAAATGGCAACCCTAAGAGAGCTGTACATTGCCTGCTCCCTTTGCCTAATAGCAATAGCAAGGACATTTCTATACCACTTATCAGTGAACTAAGCACTCCCTAAGTAGTTTATAATGTGTAAGCTAAATGCCCTCAACAAGCTGGGTATTCATTTTAGTTACCTACTGAAGGACGGAAGGCTGAGTGGACTTTGGAGTCCCTGGGATTGAATTTACAACCTTGTGGCTACAGTACAGGCATTTAACCAATGTGCCATCAGGTCTCCCTTAAGTGGATAGGTCTCAGGACTCAGGACTCTGAGTGCTGGGAAAGCAAAACTGCACACAATATCCACTTCTCCCCATCTATATCTTTGTTGTTTCACTAAATGAGGAAGTAATTAGAGAAGGGATCATGACCAGAATACCATCCAAAGTGAATCAGTGTATGCACCCTTCTGCCTGCACCATTGCTCGAATCAAATTCACAGCATCTTGAGGCTATGTTTTCCTTTTCAAGGAGGGGGAGGAAACACATCATTCTGTGTTTAGTTTGGCTCTGATCCCTGGCCTCTGGCTGTTGCAAGTTGTTTAAGCAGGAAGCAAAGAATGGAGAGAGGCAATGCCAAACCCAAGAGTGGCATGAGAATAAAGCAGCTCACAAAAGAGTCACTTAACATCCTCTTTCAGCACTTTGTTTATTCATGGGGTTTGATGGAGAGAGCTGTTTGACAGGGGACAAGGAAGAGTATAATACCCAGGCAATGGATTTATTATTCTTTTAAAGATCCATTCTGTCTTCTTAAAGTCATCAGGGTCTGGTTCTTTTTTAAAACATGCAACAAACCAGGATGAAAAGTCTATGAGACCTTTATATCTCTCTCAGATCAGTGCCTTCTCTGGTGACAATTATATCTGCGTGGCTCCAGATTTTATTCCAAAATTTAAAGAAGTTACCCAGGTGTTAAACCCAACACCCCATTTATGATCAGCAGCTTGGAGAGCTCATTTAAAATTCAAAGTAAAATTTGGAGTGGATTCACCACCACACTGACATACTGCTCTAGACTACATGGAGTGGCAGGGGCCATCACAACTCAGTGTCAGAGCACCTGCTTTGCATGCAAAAGTCCCATTCCCTACCTTCGATCCCCTAAATAATGTTGGACTAAAGTTATCATCATCCCTGACCATGAGCCATGTTGGCTGGGAATGAAGGGATCTGCACTTCTGCCAGATATCTGTTGTTGTTGTGTGCCTTCAAGCTGTTTCACCCTAAAGTGAACTTACCATGGGGTTTTCTTGGCAAATTGTTTCAGAGTGGGTTTGCCATTGCCATGCTCTGAGTCTGATAGAGTGTGACTTGCCAAAGTCACCCAGTGGGTTTCCATGGCTGAACCAAGCTTCGAATCCTGGTTTCCAGAGTTATAGTCTGACACTCAAACCACTACACCATACTGGCTTGTCACCTGAGATTCTTGGACTCTTTTACAATTCACAGTTATAGCACTATGGTTCTGCATTCACTGCTATGAAAACATGCTATGGAATCCTGGGATTTGCAGTTTAGGAAGAGGCATTTAAAATTCTCAGCCAAGGAGCTCTAGTACATCATTTTGTTGGTATCCAGCAGGTTCAGAATCAGAACCGGAGTTTGGGCCTTGCATAACCCAGATGCTGCTAGAACAGGAGGGAGGGGGAACAGGCCTTTTGGCCCACACAGACCTGGGTTGCATCTGCATTACAGAAATAATCCAGTTTGTCACCACTTTAACGAACTCTGGTGCCACAACAAACTACAGTTCCCAGCATTCCATAGCATTGAGCCATGGCAGTTAAGGTGGTGTCAAACTGGATTGTTTCTGCAGTGTGGATGCAGCCAAAGCCTGTATTCCTATCTGATAGAAGGCCCCTTGCTATGCTCCTGGGAGCAAATAGAGCCCTGGCACCAAGTAAACCCTAGGTAAAGTAAGGCAACCAACTGAGGTGAAAGGTATTGGGAAGTAATCCTAAATTATTAAAGGACAGAATGTTATATATCTTATGTGTGTATGTTCCAAATATACATGGTTTGGGACTGATTAAACTTTTTAAATGATTTGATTTTTAAATTATGTAAGTATGAATTTAGTTTGCAGCAACTGAAGTTAGTTGAGGAGGAAGGGGGAAATCATGAAGAGGAGAAAGAAAGTGGGACATTTTAAAAGCTGCTGAAAAAATGGGATGACAGAGGATTAATCAGGACTGTCTCTGACAAGCTAAGGCAATTGGCGTGTATATTAGGTTAGTGTACAATTATTTTCATTTCTTGTCACTCAGTGCCTTCAAGTCAATTCTGGATGATGATCCTTTCATAGTGTGTTTTTTTTTTCCTGAGGGTGTGTGAAATTTATTCACAAAAGGTTTGCCATTGCCTTCCTCTGAGGCTGAGAGCATATGACTTCTCCAAGGTTATCCAGTGGGCTTCCATGGCTGAGCAGGGATTCAAAGCCTGGTCTCCTGGAATCTTAGTCCAGCACTCAAACCACACTGTACCACTGTACCACACTGGCTCATAGAATCATAGAATCATATAGTAGGAAGAAACCACAAGGGCCATCCAGTCCAACCATCTGCCATGCAGGAACTCCCAATCAAAACATCCTTGACAGATTGCCATCCAACCTCTGTTTAAAGACTTCCAAAGAAGAAGACTCCACCACTCTCTGGGGCAGTTTGTTCCACTGACAGCTCTTACTGTCAGGAAGTTCCTCCTAAGTTTGAGGTGGAATCTCTTTTCCTGGAGCTTGCATCTGTTGTTCCGAGTCCTGTTCTCTAGAGCAGCAGAAAACAAGCTTGCTCCATCCTCAATATGATATCCCTTCAAATATTTAAACAGGGCTATCATATCATCCCTTAACCTTCCCTTTTCCAGTCTAAACATACCCAGCTCCCTAAGTTGCTCCTCATAAGGCATGGTTTCCAAACCCTTCACCATTTTGGTCATCCTCTCTGGACATGCTCCAGTTTCTCAAGATCCTTTTTGAATTGTGGTACCCAGAACTGGATGCAGTATTGCAGGTGAGGCCTGACCAAAGCAGAATATAGTGGCACTATTACTTCCCTTGGCCTAGATACTATACTTCTATTGATTCATCAGATGGACGAATGTTCCTCAAGCATGTGTAAATTTCATATACCATGGAAATAGGAAACAGGCTAAGCTGGGACCTCTGAAGCTGTAATTTTGCAGCAGAACATCTGCTTGATACAGTTCACAGACTCCACCACTTGCCCAGCTCCATTCTCTTGTCCCATATAGGCATCCTAAGTCTTCATTCCCACTAGTTCCCACTAGGTCTACTTCCTTTTCTTTCTGGTCCTGTCTTATCTCCCCAGACTTCCCTTCAAAGATCTCTCAGTAGCTTAATTCTCCAGTCTGTAGGGTTACTACATCTTTCAGACAGACCTTTGCCTTCATTGCAATCGGCCAGACTCAGTAGAGAGCTAGGTCCTTCAGTTCTTTGAACAAAAAGCTGCCTTACACCTAACCTTGTATGTAGCTTACTTCATTTTCAATTTACTTTGGTTTATTTTAAGAACAGGAAACACACCCATGTTGGAATGGCCAAGTAATAGAAGAAAACTGCCTCTCAACATATTTTATAATCATGTGAGATTGGGAAGAGGGAAGGGGGGATTCTTTGTAATCATGATTTTTTATTCATTTATCGCTGTTATTGTATTTATTTTATTGATGTTATTTGTATATTGTGGTTTTTAATGCTGTAATGCTGTAAATATTATTATTATTATTATTATTATTATTATTATTATTATTATTATTCAGAGGCTAAACCTGTAAGAACAGGAGACATATAACCTTTAGTAGGCAGAGGCTTGGTGCAACAGCTGATGACTCTGAGAAGGGCAATAACTCTTGCTCCAGGTATCAGTTCAGACTTTAAATGAGCTATCCAGCATTTTGAGTAGTTGAGACAAAACCTGGAACAGATGCATTGCTCCTCTGATATTGGAGCTACCAGCATCCACTGTTCTTGGTGTTAGCCAAAGTGCCACCTTTCTGATTTGCCTATTTTCATCCAGATGCTCATGGGAAACCTTCAAATATAGTACTATTGAAGGAAACAGGAGGCAGTATGGTACAACAGTCAGTGCCTCGGACTGTGTTGAGCTGAGACCTAGGCTCATAACTTTACTGAGCCATGAAAGTTGCAGGGAATCTTGGACCAGTAAATTCCTCAGCCTTTTGCTTTCCCCCCTTATTTTTGCAAAGCTGAAGTACTAAACACACTCTCCAACATGCCACTGTTTTATAGCATTTAACTCAATCGTTTCTTCTTTTGCTCTCTGTTTAAATCTAGGTCTTGCTTTAACACCTTGGCTGCAAACATCTGTGTATATTTCATTTCATTGGATCCAAAAGATGAGAGTGTCAGGTAAGAAACGATACCACATTCCTTGATGCAAGGCATTCTCATCAGTTTCTCGCCTTCCCAGGTTGAATGTTACAGGGCTCCGTAGAATAGAAAGGGTATTAACTAGCTGGAGAGCTAGGATTCAGGGCAGTTAAAGCAGTCTCAAACTGGATTATTTCTGCAGTGTGTTTTGGACCTGGGAATTTGTTTCCAAAGGAGATCTGCCCTAAAATTCCGAGTAACTTTAGGAAAGAAATGATTGTGGGAAAGCATATCCTCTAACATTTCATAGATGAAAAATTGAGGTGCACGTGGCAAAGAACATCAGAGTGTAGTCAAGACAGCCAAACATTGTCAGTGAGGAAGAATAGATAAGTTAGGAGAGGCTGACACATTTTATGCCCCCCAACCCCTCCAGGTGCCCTGTACATACCCCAAGGAGCAAGGAACCCCACAGTGACCAATTCAGAGAAAGGGCGAAGAACCTGTGGCCTTCCAGATGTTGCAAGAACGCAACTCTCATCAGCACTGGTGAACATAGCCAATATCAAACGCTTACACAAACCTTGGACTGTTGTGGCCTGCAGTTCCCAGAATCCCCCAGCCAATGTGAGCTGGTGGACTGCACTCTTGTTTAAAGCAGACCTGCATAACTTGGCAGTGGGAAGGGGCCAAAATTAAAATTGGCTAAACTTCTTTGGGCCACAGATAGGTTTTAATTAAATATTAATTAATAATATCAATTATTATTATATTAAACATTATTTAATATTATTTATATTATTTATATTAAATATTATCAATATTAATTCCATCCTCTTCCTCCTCTGTCTGGCCCTTTCCTCAGGAGAAGGCCGGACAGTGGTGGAGCCTTGCAGGGTGAGCATTTGCCCATCCATCGCAGCAGCCACCCACTGGCTTTCTCCTTGGGAGAGGGCTGGGCAGTGGAGAAAACCAGAGGGGTAAGAGTTTGCCCATCCTCTTTCTCCTCCACCACCCAGCTTTCTCCTCAGGATGGGGCTGACCAGCAGAGGAGTGTTGCAAATGTTCACCCCATCCTCATCTTCATCCTCCACCCGGCCTTCTCCTTGGGAAAAAGCCAAGCAGCAGAGGAACCTTGTAGGACTAATATTTGCCCGTCCTCCTCCTACTCCGCTGCCTGGCCTCCTTCTCAGGAGAGGGCTAGGTGGTGGAGGAACCTTGCCCAACAAGTATTTGCCCATCCTCCTCCTTCACTGCCTGGCCTTCTCCTTAGGAGAAGGCCAAGCAGCAAAGGAGCCTTGAAGTCATCCCACATCCTTGTGGGCCGCCAGAAATCCTTTGGCAGACTACATGCAGCCCCCAGGCCATATGTTATTCAGGCCTGGTTTAAAGCATGATGATAAGGTTTTCTTGCAGAAAACAAACTAGACAAGTAAGAATGGATTCTGCAATCTGCAAAAATGAAGATAATTGGTTACATAAATGGTACCTGGTTGTTGTTGTTTTGCACAATTTATGCTGCTTCTTGTAATATTTTGCAAACATTTTATTCAGAGTCTCAAGCAAGGGGGGGGGGAATGAGAGCATTGCACCTCCCAAATACTTTTTTCCCCACCAAATGAAATTTTCCTTCAGTTGTCAAATTCCTAGCATTGCAATAACAAAACAGCAAATTCAAGAGTCCTAAGAGTGAACGGTTCTTTCATTGTCTCACACTCTGTAATACTAGACATTTGAAAGAAAATTACATTTGTGGGGCACAATTCTTATTGGAGTATGTTTCTTTATTACCTCCTCTCTCTGCTATACCTCTGGATCAATTCAGACCTTTTGAAATCTTATTATTTGCTGCTGAAAATCTCCATGTAGGCCTTCGTTGTTGTGTGCCTTCAAGTCATTTCATGGTGACCCTAAATTGACCCTATAATGAGGCTTTTTTTGGCAAAATTTGTTTGAGGAGGGTTGCTTTGCCTTTCTCTAAAGCTGAGAGAGTGTGACTTCCCCATGGTCATCCAGTGGGTTTCTGTGGCTGAGCAGGGATTCAAACGCTGGTCTCCAGAGCTGTAGGCCAATGCTCATACCACTACACCACACTGGGTCTCTATGCAGGCCTACATCCAGTTACTAGTCCAATCTAGAATAGGCACATTCAGTCAATGAGATTGTCATAAGTGTTGAGTTACTATTCAGAAACTGATTTAATGGGTCTATTCTAGCTGGGATTAGCAATTGTATTAAGGCCTTAATCTTTCTGGTATCTGTGATTTCAGCGGGTGTTATCCACATCCTTTCAATTATATCTTTATAGCAGTGATTCTCAAACAGTGGAGCAGGACCCTTGCCAGGGGTGAGAGTTGCTCAAAGGGGGCACAAGACTTGGAGGCTCTGATCTCTCCTCTTCCCATGCCTTTGAATATGTAAAATTTACACATGCATTGAATTAAATATTGGATTTACTTAAATAAAACTGTTCTAATTTGAACAATGTTATTTCCTTATAAAATGTTACAATATGAATATGCACGAATGTGTGAATGAAAATATGCACACTAAATAAACAAAATATTTTTATTCATATGCTATGTCAAGTGTGTTGGGGGGTGACGTCCACATGTAGATAGATATAGGAAGAAAATCAACTCATTTGAAATGTGGTGCTGGAGAAGAGTGTTGAGGATACCATTTGTTGCTAACTGCCTCAAGTCTATCTCAACCCATGGATGAGCCAACTCCAAGATCCCCTATCCTCCACTGTTCTGCTTAAATCCTGCAAATTCATACCATGGACAGCCAAAAAAAAAAGGGGTCCTAGAAACAGGTCAAGCCTGAAATCTCCTGGAAGTCAAGATACTAAAATTGAGGCTGTTATACTTTGGTCACATCATGAGAAAGAATGACTCATTGGATAAGACAATAATGCTAGAAAAAGTGGAAGATGTAGAAAGACAGGAAGGCCACAAGCTAAATGGATAGAGTCTATTAAGGAGCTCACAGGCATGAATTTACAGGACCTAAACAGAGCAGTGGAAAATAGGGAGTCTTGGGACATTATCACACGGGGTCTAAAGCAGTCCCATCCCCGTTGCATCCCCGTCCCATTGCGCTTCCTTTTCCCCTGTGTTCACACGACGTCACACCCATCCC